GAGATTTCTGCTGCTCTTCTCATGCCGCCATCTTGGCTCCGCCCCCCCAGATGGCTCCTTTTCATTTCCTTTTGCAGACTCTCCACTGTCTTGATCTTACTTGTTTATGGATCTATTTACTGTCTTGGCCCTATCTTCCCCACTAGGATGCAGGCTCATGAAGGTAGGGACCTTCCATGCCTTACTTATCATTGAATCTCCAGCATGAGCACCATCCTGGGCATCAAGTAAATTCTCTTGATGGTTCTGATTTGTTGACGTCCTCAGTACAGGGCTTAGCACACAGTCAGTACTCAATAAATGCTGACCGTCCCCATCACTATCATTCTCATCACCACCAGCTTCATCACTGATACCGGCACAGTTCTTAGCCTAAAGCCTTAGGGATCAGATTGGGTACCACTGACATGTACGATGAACATTTAAAGGGGAGAAACTAAGTATGCTAATAGTCTGAGACCTGGCCCTGGAGTGTGACCCTTTTTCAAACATTACAGTGTTCAAGAGCAGTGTAAAGGCTGCAAGGCTGCAGGGGCTCAACATGCTGACACAGAACAAGGCCAGATCCTGTAACAGTGAGGTGGTTTCTAATTTCCACATGTCCTTTCTTTAGCTGGCCCCTGCTCCTCTTCCCCACTACCCACTAGCCTCTCCCCACCCCGGTCCCCCACCTCTGCAAATTGGTGAGGCTGTCTTCTGCACAGGATGGATGCCAAGCCCCACTCAGGAACCCTGCTTTTCCTTGCTGTCTCCAGACCTTTTCTACAGGGAAGTATGTAGAGGAAAGTTATTTGCTACCTAGAGCTCCCTCTGCTGATACACCGGGTGGATGACATGTGGTCAAACCTGCAGGTTTCAGCACAGCTGGGTGTCTGGCCGGGCATGTCTGCCTACCTGTGTCTGCGGTCTGATCAGAGGCTGTTTCCTTCTCTCAAGGGTGGGGGATACAGGTTGTGCGTGTCCATGGCCTGGTATGCTTTGGGGGTGCCAGAGGCTTTCAGCATCCTGGCTATGCTGATCTCCCCATGCCCAGGAATCCTGGTGCTTGCATGCACTTGTTGGAGAGAACCAGGGGATTCCTAGCAATGGAAAGATGTTCTGTGCATAACTCTCCCACCGACCCTTAGAAACAGGTGGCCCATGTTTATTATTTCTGTTTGACACTGAAGTGAAACCTAGGAGGAGGTATTTTATATTTTAAGAGCATACTCAGGGTCAAAACAGGGTCAACAACAGAGCCTGGGTAAAAACAGGCTCTAATAAGCCAAAATGAAACAGACACATGATTAAGATCTAAACAAAAATAAGCATGAATTTGACTAAATTGATAAATTTAAATAAGTTTATTTAAATTCAGAAGGCATGCCATGCCCTAGCTGTCACGTACTTTCTGTTAGGACTGCTGACAGAGGGAAGGGGAAGGCATTTCTTTATAGACTATCCTGTCACTGTGATGAGGCTGATATTCCTTCAACACTGCCACTGGCCAGTGCCAACATTTATATGAAATATATGGCACTCTGTTATATATAATCCCCAGACCCCCAACAGCCTTAGGACATAGGCAGTATTATTTTTCTTCACCTTTTACATATTGTAATATTAAGGTTCAGTAGTGTTAAATGACTTGCTTAAAACCACACAACTAAAAAATTGCTGGTTATGGTTTCTGTAAACTTGTAAGTCCTGGGCTCAGATCCACTGACAGGTGTTCATTCCATGCCCAAAGTTGACTCAGTCCGTTGCACTATGCAGAATAGTGGAGAGAGCAGAGATAAATGAGAAGAGGTCCTTGCACTTGGGGGTACTTGGAGTTTTCTATTAAAATGGAGGACTAGATTTAGTGCTGCTTCCTCCAGGCATCCTTCCCTGACTGACCCCTTTTTCCCTCTGATATCTTCTGGCACTCATAGTTGACGCTTCCTTACTGTTACTTATGAAATGAGTAATACCTCACATTTATTAAACACTTATCATGTGCCAGTCTATATAGGAAAGATCTTTACATGGGTTATCTCATTTAATCCTTATAAGAAATATATGAGAAAGGCCCTATCGTTATCTCCCATTTTACAGATGAGGAAACTGAGTCATAGAGAAGGTGAACAATTGACACTAAAAGTTTCAGTTTTTATTCCCAGCTCTGCTGGGAACCTGTTTGACAGCTCTGTGAGGGTGAAGAACTCTCTTCCCTAGGTTTCCCTAGCTTAGCGCTCGCACCTGGGAGCTCAAATCTACTTGTTGATTTACTCTCCCTTTGCTTGAAATTGATGACAAAACAAGATTTGGGGATGGGATAGGGAGGGAATCCCCCAAATCAGATGGAACTTCTTTAGAGCTCTGATTCTCAGTTCATGCAAGAGTAGGAACCATATTTCAAAAGAAATATTCCTTGGAGAATCTTCTTCATATCTACTTTTGTTTTTTGCCCAGCATGATGCCTGGCACCTAACAAGGGTCAATACATCTATGTTGAATGACTGAATGAGCTTTAAGACTTCTAAAGAAACTTGCTGCCGTTACTATGGCTGGGGACGGAGTCTCAGGCAGTACTCAGTTCCATCTTCCACATCAGGCTCCAGGAAGATGATCGCGGTGCTGGCCGACTGTCTCAGGGCCAGAAGATAGTCTTGGTGACCCTAGAAGCTTGCCTTCCTGCTCTTCTATCTCAGGTGATTTTTCATCCTAAAAACCTCACATAAGCTGTTTATGGCATCCATAACCTGCCCAGAGCTTTTAAACCTTTATCTCGCATGATTTTTTATGAGTTGAGATGAACAACTCTCTCTCCTGGGACTTGGGGCCCTGGATCCTTAACCTCACTCCTTCAGCCAGTGGCCCCTGGGGTAGCTGAACCAGAGTGAGGGCCCCAAAGGGCTGTGGTTAAGTGTGTCACATGCAGGAAGCCAATAATATCATTGCTGCTTAGAGGAAAAATGCAGCAGACACTTTGAAGCAAAGACGGGCCAAAGGGCAGTAATGCCAAGAACTCCCAGGGTAGATTCTGCTGGGATTGGGAAGCTCTGTTTAGACATGGAGGAAGGGTTCTGGGAACTGATGAGTTTGGGGACATCTCATCGAATTCTTTATTTGACATTAAAAAAACTAAAGTCGTGGTTGGGGGACTTGCCCAAGGTCATGTAGTATCAAGGTGAGAGCATGGGATAATGGTAGCTGCCTCTCTCGCACCTGTTCCCTCCCTCCCATCAGACCCTGATCCCTACAAAACATCCAGGTGGTTGCAGGAAACTGGCTTCTCCCCAGTGCCAGAGACCTTGGCCAAGCTGGTCAGTCTTCCTGGCCACAGAGCTTGGTTAAGGGATAACCTGTGACCTAAAGCTGGTTCAGTTCCAGAGAATCTGGACCTCTGAGGAGAATGCTGGGAAATACTGCTCCTCCTTCCCCTGGGCTAGGAATGAACAAAGGTTGCAAGTGGTCCCAGCATGATGCCATGCTATGACATGAAGAAAGAGCGTCAGGATGAAGCAGACCTCCTGAAACATAGAGAGGAGAGATGGAAAGAAAAGGAATCTTAGGGCATAGTTCTGAGTTGCTGGATCAAACCTCACCTGATGTCTTCACCATGGAATGTGCAGTTAAATGAACCAGTAAGTGCTATTTTAAATGCAATTAGAATAGATGTTTTGTTACTTGTAACCCAAATATTCCCAAGAGATGAGCTGATGCCAGAGACTCGTGGCCACAGGAGCATGCCTCCATTCTCCTGTCTCACTCCTGGTTAGGAAGACTAAGCCCAAAGGCAAGGCCTCTATGCTGATTCTCTGTAGATACTCTGAAGACTGATTCTAGCTGGAGTTCACAGACTCTCTGTTAGCTGGCATTTTATACTCAATGGTTTAGGGAAGTGGGTTGGCTTATTACATGGGCCCAGAAAGCATTTTCTTGGTGGTCACTCCCACCCCACCCTCACCAGCGCACAGCAGTTTGTACACTTGGTGACAGTGACCTCACTGCTTTTCAACGACCATAACCTACATCTAGCTCCTCCTTCAATTCCCAAGCTTACCGAGGGGGAGACTAAGCCTTACTCACCTTTGGATCCTTGCACATGGCTGAGTGTCTGCTACAAGTGTGATGTGGATGGACTCTTGTGGAGTAGATGAAACAATCTCTTTCCCCTTCCCATTTCTTTCTTGGATGGATCCTGTTTATTCCTCCACTTTCTTCTCTTTAAAAATTAGGATAAGATTTAAAAGCACAGCAGACACAATACAAAGCATTCACCCTAAGTTCCCTGTTCACAAACTGGAGACTTGATCTGCTTTTACATTCTCATAGTGCTAAGTCCTATCTGGGACACCCACTCCCTCTATCTGTTTGCTTTGTGTTCAGGGCTGCTGTGTATAAAGCCAAGGGAGGGGAAAACTGGAAAGACTGAGTCAGAGAAGGTGTGTGGGGGGGGTTGAAACTTGAGTCTGTTGGGATCATCAGTCTAAACCCTCATTGACAGGGGAGGAAGCTCAGGACTGGGGAGGAGTCCTGGCTCAAGGTCACTGGGATAGTCCAGCCTGGGTGAGAAAGAACTCCAGTTTACAAGGCAAGACCTGTTTCCCAGCAGAGCCCTGTACAGAGAGGAAGGAAGGCTTCAGGGTGGATGGGAAGAAGGAACTGGCGGGAGGCTGAGAGGCCAGGCTTCAGGACATGCAGCCTATGAAGAAACTCTGCTGTCTCCCTTTCCCCACTAAAGCCCTTGCTGGACAACTGGTTTTGAAGTCTAGTGGCGTGTGCATCCTTGGGGATCAGAGAAGTGACTCAGTGAAGCACTCAGTTATGTCGTTGGCACTAGGGGACAGGGTGTGATTAAGGAGGCACTCACAGAGACTCATTCATTGCCCCCTCCCTGCCCCTTAAAGCCAGGGATCCAGGGATCCGCTGCCGGAGACCCCTCGGGGTTCTGACACTCCTGAAACGTTTCTCACGTCTCCACCTGTCAAGCAGTCTTTGTGCCCTCAGATGATACCTGGACCGCAAACTCCGGGGCGGGGAGCCTACTGCACACTCAGCTGCCTCGGGCTTACTTCCTGCAAGGCAGGATCTCAGGACCCCCAGATCTGCCTGACCTCCCCTTGATTCCGAGTGGGGGCCCACCCTCCGGGGCCCACCCTCCCCCAAAGCTCCCCCTGCTTTTCTGCCCCCGCCTCTTCTTTGCCGCGGAAAGTGTCCCCTCTCCCCCCGCCCCACTCGCACTCTTGTCGTGGGGGTGGCAGTCCTCGCGGCTCGCCCCCAGCCCCCTCCTTCCCCTCCTCCTTTCTCCTCCCTCGCTCCGCCCCCAGGCCCCGCCCTCGCCGGCCCGGCCCGCGCCCCGGAGCCCCTTCCCCTCCGCCCCCCTCCCCCGGGAGAGGGCAGTGGGGAGGGAGCCCCGCGGGCCAGGCCCCCACCCTGCGCGCCCCTGCCCGAGCGCGCGCGCGGCGCCCCCTCCGCGGCCTCCGGCACCGCCTCCCCGCCTCCCCCTCCTGCTGACGTCCGGGTCCCTGCCCGTCTGAAAACTCCGCGCCGCGGCGGTGGAGGCGGCGGCGGCGGCGGAGGAGGAGGAGGAGGAGCAGCGGCGAGCCGAGGCGGCGGCGGCGGCCCGAGCGGGAGCCCGAGCGGCAGGCGGCGGCCGCGGGAACCGCGGGGAGCGCGGGGGCGACCCGGAGCGCCCGGGGTCCCCGCGCCCCGCTCGCCCGCCGCGCTCCGAAGATGGTGGCGGCGCCGTGCGCCCGGAGGCTGGCCCGGCGCTCACACTCGGCGCTGCTCGCGGCGCTCACGGTGCTGCTGCTGCAGACGCTGGTCGTGTGGAATTTCAGCAGCCTTGACTCAGGGGCCGGGGAGCGCCGCGGGGGCGCAGCGGCTGGCGGCGTGGAGCAGCCGCCCCCGGTCCCAGCCCCGCGCCGGGAGCGCCGGGACCTGCCCGCCGAGCTCGCTGCAGCCCGAGGAGGTGGCGGAGGACGGGGGCCCTCGGCGCGGGCGCGGGGAGGCGGCCCCGCAGAAGCCCGGGCGCAGCAGCTGGCCAACCGGGGGGCACTGCCCGTGCGGGCGCTGGTAAGATGCCCTTTCGGCTCCCCCCCGGGGGGCAGGAGGGCAGGAGGCAGCCCCGACCCCACGCCCCGCAGCCCTTGAACCCCGGTCATTAGACTGGGACTCCCGGAGCCTACCGGCTCCACATCTCTTCCCCGGGAAGCCGGGGTAGGGTCCCGACCTAGGCCCGGGGACCGCGGGCTGCCCCATGCCGAGTCTGAGGACTGCCCCCTTGGGGCCTGGGGAAGTTATCTCCATGGGAGGCGCTTTGGGGGTTACCCGAGCCTGGCTGGGTTCCTGTTCCCCGTCGCTCTTGCTGGGCGCCCTGACTTGCTTTATGCGTGTGCGTGTCGGTGCCTCGCTCTCCGGGACTGTGGATCGTGCCCGGGATCCCAGCCGCCGCTCACGGGTGTTGCTCACAGCATCTCTCCGGATTTTGCTGAGCTGAGTGCAGACAACTCGGTCCCCTGCTTGCCGCCTCCTTGCCTTTGCGGGCCTGAGAAGGGGCCTGGATCGGTGTCCCAAATCCCCAGCCGTGTCCCTGAATCAAGACTCAGTCTTGGGTGCCTGGTCGTACTCCGGGTCCGCCGCCTCTATCTCTGGGTGTCCTGCCTCCTCCGTCTGTAACCTTGCCCTCTCCCCGTGCCCTCTCTGACTTTCCCCACCCTACTCTCCTGTGTCAGGGCACAGCCTCTTCTCCTAGATGGCTGTCTCTGGCTGTCTTGTGTGCAGCAGCTGGTTTCTGTCCCCTGCTCTGTGTCCAACCGCACCATCATGACTTCGGCTCCTGTGGGTTTTCTTTGCCTTCCTTGGGTGTGAACAGTCTGAGCCCTGAAACTGTTCTTTCTGCAGATCTTCTGGGGCATCTGGGCGTCTCCCTACTCTGTCTCCAACTTCTCCAAGGATGCCTTTCTCATCTTCTTTGGGCTGCCTTGCCTTGCCCGCCGAGCCCACCAAGCTAGGATCCCACAGGACAGGTCAGAGTCCCCAGCTCTGGGCCAGGCTCTCTGGGCCCTGTCTGTCTTAGGAATAACAATGTGCATTATGTCTGTCTGTATCTTCATCATGCCACTTGCCTACAGGGATTCTCAGCCTTGGGGGGACCTCAGACAACAGGGGGTAGTTTCAGGATCCTTAGGCACTGAATGCGTGTCTCTGTCACTTGTCCCTTTGCCAGCCCTCAGTGAACTCTGCCTTCAGACACAGCATGATGCTTTTTGATCTGCTAAACTTCTTTGGAGTCAACGGCAATCCTCTTCACCAGAGTGTGTCTCTTTGTGCCTGTGGGCCGAGCCAGCCCCAGGATACGACGTGATAGCAGTTCACGTTGCTGGCTGGTCTGTGTGGGTAGCAGGAGATGTCTTTCCCTCATTGTGGGGAGGAGAGTGGAGTGAGATTCCTGACGGAGAGCTAGAACATTCCCAGCGTCCTGTGGCCTTTTATTGATAGCGAAGGGTACTCCCCGACGCTGCCTTTGAACTCCTGGAGTAGATAGTGATGTGTCTGGGCAGAAATGCAATTAGAAGTTCTTTTTGGATTTGGAGCCCTGCTGGGAGATGGGCTGAGACTGGGTTCAGGACGTGCACTCCTGGCCCAATGTGTGGGTACATGGAGGATGGACACTGGGGACATGGAGCTTACTGTATCCTTTGCATCTGGGGTTCAGATGGGCATTAGGAGGTATCTTTTGGCAGATGCCACTTGTTGAAACAAGTGGAGAGAAGGCAGGAGGCCTGGCCTCTAAAATTTGAGTACTCTGTCCACACCTCCTCTTTGTGTGAATACATCTTATTATAAGTTCAGCATCTTATTCTCTCACCTCCCAGCTCAGCCACAGAGGTTTGCAATGGGAAGATGGGTGGGAGCATGCCATTTTTCCTTTTTCCTTTCTTTTGGAAAGCCAGTTTGAGCCACAGAGTTGCTTTGCTTTTCTGAAACTCTGCTCTCAATTGCAAGTTGAGTTACTATTTCCCTCCCCGTATCTCCCAGGGTCAGTTTCTTCACCTACTGATAGAGCCATGTATTTCTTTTTTCTTTTTTTCTGCCCTCCTCCCTTCTTTGTGGTTGTCTGTCATAATGTTGCTCACTCACCTATATTTGTATTTTATTTTACCTGCTTTCTGTCTCCTCTCGTTTTCCTCCTGCACATCTACCCTGTGCTCTGCTAGATCCTGAAATCATAGTGCAGATGTGCCAGGTGGAGCAGGGTTCTGTCCTCTGGCTGTGCCCACCCAGCCCCTGCCCTTCCATGGAGCTCAAGGAGACCAGAAGGGGGCAGGCTGTTCCCGAAGTCCAGTGTTGTCTGAGCTTGGGTTGCAAGGCTAGGAGAGGATCAGACCGTTTTTTACAAACCACAGAGGCCCTGGCAATGTGCCATTTTTTTGCAGACCCTGCCAGGGTTCTGGTGGTATGCTTTGGAGGTAGATTCAGGAGTGAGGCATTAAAAAATAATTTTCCAGATGGCTTTCCTAAAGAGCTAGTAGGGTACATGTTTAGGAGATGATGCTTTATCTCTGTCCTATTGAGGGTGGAGGTGGATGGGGTGGAGAGGGTAGTTGTGGTTCTTGCACATGGAAGAAATCTGTGGCCCAGCTGGTGCAGAGGGAACATCCCCAGGAGTATCAGGCCAGCATGGTGTATGGCACATTTTCTAACCCAGACCTTGCTGCTTCCCTGTGCCCACCCTCCCACAGTTTCTGCACTTGCACCTTTTATTTTTAGGGAGCTGTGCTTCCAGTGGAAGGACCTGATTGTATTTCTGGTGCATTTTAAGAAGCCAAGAAGGAACACCCAGTTTCTCAAGCAGGCAGAGTCAGAAAGCGTGAGGATGATGGCAAGACTGCCATATCCATAAAAGATTTGCCAGCTTCCCCTTTTCCTCTCAACCTCTTTCAAAGCTTTAAATATTAGAATTATTGGGTGGATTGCAGCTGAGTTTTGTGGCTGTGACACTGATTCCTTTATTGGGTCCCCAGTAAGCTGTGGATTTTACTGCCATCTCAGAATTTAAGAAACAGATGGGCTCACTTATAAAGGGATGGAAAACATTCTGGAGAGTGTCAAAAAGATCATCCTACAGGTTCTGAATAGATTTTGGAGAAAATAAGAGAGAACTGTGCAGTAATGTAACGAATGTTTATTTTCTTTCCCTTTGCCTCCCGTGATCCTTTTGAAGTCCACACATTTATTGCTTGTGCCCTTAGATAAACTGTTTCTCACTAAGCTTCATTTTAAGAAACCTAATTTTTTATTGCCCTTATACACACACTTACAGTAGACTGGGGTTTCTTATTGTCTGACCCCTTGGAAATGTTGATTTTTCGGCAGAAATTCCTCATACTTCGCATTACTCAGATAACTCAGGACTTTTTCAGACATTGGCAGAGACTTTGAAAAATTGGTTCACTGTATCCAGATCGCCTCTGGTTCTAACAGCCTCAGAGGCGTAGCTTTTCTTCCTAACCAAATGTTTTGAGATCAAGAGAACAGAGGGTATTTTATTGATGGTTCGTTTTTTTTCACACTGGCAATGGAGTTCTATTTTGCTTGAGCAATCCATTACACTTTGTATACAGAAATATGCATCACTGAACAATATTTATCTTACTGTAAATGTAGCCATCTGCTTAATCATATACTGGAAAATGTTAAAATAGATACAAGAAAGTAGAAATGATTATACATACATACATACATATATATAGATAGATATAAAATATGTAATTTTATACATATATTCCCTTTCCTTCTACTTGTCTTACACTTAAGACATTCTCTCTAGCTTATCAATTCTTTTTGTTTGTTTGTTTATTTTTTAGTCTTCCAGAAGGCTGAGTGACAAAATGCTTGCTGTTTTGTAGGTAGGAAACCAAGGCATAAGTTTCTGTTTGCTGGGCCTTGTCCAACTTTGATCCATAGTCTTAACAGAAAAGGAAATTTGGTTTCTTGAGATAGAGCAGATACTTACATCAGTGTGTTTGTGTGTGTGTATTTCCCCAGAAAACAAAATATCCTTAAGGATTTATCTATAGTAAGATTTTTCCCCTCCCAAGCAGAACTATTTATGATTATTGTGGCCGTAAATCTACATGCAGAAAGACTGAAATGCATGGTGCCAACATAATTGGACTTCATGGGATAAGAGCTGACCTCATCTCTCTATATTTAGAGAGTTAATACTGCCCTGAGATTTGTCATTTATGCTAACTCTCCCTTTTTTCCTTGCATCTCCTCTTTTCTATGGACCCTGGTCCCCATCTATCAGAAACAAAGAGAAAATTCTTTGGGGAAAATAAAAAATAAATAAAATACAAACTCAGCCCCAACAAAACCCAAGTTCAAAGGAAGGGGTATGTGAACAGGAGAAGAACACAGAAATAGGTCCCAGGCCCCAGCACAAATGAGAGACCTCTGTCAACTGTCCCTGGGTCTGACATAACCTGGTTCGACCCTGGCTCTGCTCTTTGCCATCTCTGTGATCTTGAGCAAGTCATTCTAACTTTGTCCCTCTGAAAACTGGGGCTACCTCATAGGGTTATGTTATGATGAAATCAATAATATATGTGAACCAGTTTGGGCCTGGCATAGAATAAATGCTCAAATCTGAGCCGTTGTTCATGCAAAGAAATTCTTGGTATGTTTGAAAATAAGCAATTTTCTGCAATTATTCGTTTTCCCATGCAAAGTAGGGATTGGGTACAACCCAAGGCACAAGAAGAATACACCCAACTCCTCTGTATGTGCCAGCCTTGGAGCAGGATGGAATGTGGCAGAGGAATGAGTACTGATGTTTATCGCGTGCCAGCTGTATACCAAACATCCTTCAGATGTGTGGCATACATTATATTACTAAGTGCCCACCAAAAAATCAGTTAAAAAAAATCAGAATGGAAGAAGGTATTATCCAACTCTTAGAAAACTTAAACTGAGACTAGAAATTCAGGGTGTCAGGAGCACTGACTGTGCAGCAGGAATGTTGAGGGCTTTGCAAATGTTACCTCACTGTCTCAGTGACTCTTTCCAACTGTGGGGGACACGACTGTTGCTGTCCCATTGCACAGATGAGGAGCCCGAGGCTCAGAGATGAAGTGCTTGCTCACAAGGGCACAGTGTTAAACAGCAGCAGAACTGGGATCGAAACCCTGGGGTGCCCCATTCCAGTTGATGAATAGACTTCTGAGCACCTTCTCTATGTAGTTTTTTGAAAAACCCTAAATGCAGCCATGTCACTCCCGAAAACCTTTATACCTATTTTCTCACTTCCTGTTGCAGATTTCTAAAGATGTGCCAACCCTACAAAAGAGCAGATACACAGTTGTCATTTAATGAGACCCCTCAATAATGAGACACACAGGAAGGTAATAATACTAACACTAATAATGTCTACGTATACGGCAGTTATGAGGTGCCAGGCAGTTTCCAGCCCTGCATCTGTATTACTCATGTATTCTTTGAGGACAGGCACTGTTACAGCTTCACTGGCCACCAGTCTTGGTGCTTAAATAACCAAGCCCTGTTCTGGGTGTTTTACAAATAATACCTCATTTAAACCTCATGCTGCAGTGAGGAAACTGAGGCAAAGGGAGCTTCAGCAACTTTCCCGAGGTTCAGTTACAAATGGTAGAGCTGAGATTTGAACCCAGGCAGTCTGGGAGACTGGCATTATTAACATCAGGGCCTGGGAGCCCAAACACTGGGCCAG